TAAGTATTTCATTCAATAAATAATTTCACCAGAGAATGAAATTCACATTAATTGAGCAATGATTTTGTCAAGGTCTGTGCTAGATCTACTCATTACCATATTTAATTCTCACAACAATGTGAGATTGATATCGTTATCTCCACTTTGCAGTTGAGAAGTGAGCTTTCAAGAGAGTAAATAACAAGCCGGAAATCACAAATTTAGCTGAGATCCAAATCCAGGCCAACCCAATGCTAATGCCCATGCTTTGGTCATTGTCATTCTCATTAGGATGTTTTTAATTACAATCTACTAGTCATCATGTCCTCTACCTGACAATAGAACATATTTCTCATTCCAATGCAGTTAAGACCATGTTGTAGCATAGTTTTGGATCATGTGTGAGTCAAATCATGGTTCCAAAAACATAACACGCTTAAGCAGTAAGACAGGCTTGGTCTTGACCCAAACCCTGGGACCATGAAAGGATTCCACCATCTTTTAGAACAGAGAGAGACAGGTCAGACAGAAAGAAGCTGAGACCTGAAGAAAAGTAATGGCTAGGTGCATTGGTTCACATCTGTAATCTCAGCACTTTGGGAGCCTGAGGTGGGTAGATCCCTTGAGCCCAGGAGTTTGAGACCAACCTGGGCAACATGGCAAAACCCTATCTCTATGAAAAATACAAAAATTAGCCAGGTGTGGTGGCATGCACCTGTGGTCCCAGCTACTCAGGAGGCTGGGGTGGGAGGATCACCTGAGCTCAGGGAAGTCAAGGCTGCAGTGAGCCATGATCATGCCACTGCACTCCAGCCTAGGTGACAGAGCAAGACTTTGTCAAAAAATAAAAACGAAAAAGAATAGTGATTTTTCATTCATTCTTAGAAATGGACATAGAATTGGGCCTCCTTTCTTCTGACTATATTATCTACACTAGCTCTACTCAAATACTGCCCCTGATGGCCATGGGAAATTTAGAAATCTAGTCCCAAGAAAGGAATCTGCACAAATAGAATTGACCTTCCAACTACCCCTGGATGGAGGCCCAAGGCCCACAAATGAACATTATAAAGAGATGTTCATTTTAACACCTACCTTCTCCTGCGGTCTCTTGCTCAATATTTTGCATTAATAGAGACATCAAGAGAAATGTTTGTCACTGCTATTCTTGCACAAGGCTTTTTTTGGCTTCTGTGAAAATAGCAGCACTGCGAATTACATGCTCAAACATGTCCACATTCTTGGCAAAACAACAGAAAAATGCTGGGGGTCAAATTAGTGATCGAGTATCTACCAAATAGCTATTTTATAGCAGCATTTTATAAACTACCGATGCATGTGTAATGGATATCAGAAAGTCAGAACAGATTTTACAAGGTTATTCTATAACATTATGGCAACCTTGCAAAACAGAAACAAACAAACAAAAAAGTTTCCACCTATCAAAGTAATTTAAGCAGCCTGTATGTTCCTTAAAAAGCGTGAGGGAAAGAAGGGAATAGTAAATGTATTTAGACCAAAATTTGGCCTCAAGTTTCTCATCTGTAAAGCGGAGACACAATAGTTAGCTTACTGATTATTGTAAGGATCAAATGAGATCATACGTAGGGAAACATCCCTCGCCTAATAGGTACTCAGTGTGCTTTGATGGGACTTAAATCCGAGGTTTTGCAGAGAATGGGGCTGGCAATATCTGGCATCATTTATTTTCCACCAAGAAAATGTTTAAATCTCTGATAGAGGTCATGAAGACTCAGTTCATTCTTAAGCAAATAGCTGCAACCACAAAGCACTTCATATGCCTCTGTAACCCAACTTTTACTCTTCCATAGTGGATGATGATAGTTGACAAAATTCCAAGAGCCATTACTGTGTGATGAAAGCACACGAGACTGACTGTAAAGGTGGCCTGCTCTGTGTAATAGATTGTTCTTTTTGTACATGAAGCATTTGCATTGCTTTCAATACAGAGACTTCCTGCTACAGAAGGCTTAAATGTATATGCTTATGCTAAGCATAGAAATAAACATTTGCTTTCAGATGTCATTTTCTGTTAGATTTCTCCTCCCAACCATCACCATCTTGCTCTTTAGTCACTCACGCCCTGGAGTACAGAATAAAGATAACAGGCAACAGCTCTAGACAGAGGCAACCCTACCCAAATGCCTTGACAACTGGTAAATGTTTGTAACACTCACTCCTATCCTTCACTCAACAAACAAGCACTTACTGAAATGTGTTTAGTTGTATTGCTGGTAACGCTCTCTCCATTCACAAAGAGATAAAGCACTATCATACTTTAAGGGGAAAAAAATCAAAACCCTGAGCCAGAAACTACCCTCTCAACTGCCTAATTCATTAAAGATCAATGAAGATGAAATAGTTTCATTGGAGTAAAATAATTAAATAGACTTAATTTCTAATATATGTCAAGTGGAATTAAAGCTATAAAATTCAAATGGACCTGGCAATGCTTTAACAGAAAAAATTATCTGGATAATTGCCAGGGCTACTGTGAGTCTTGTGGAGAATGATCCATGAGCCAGAGAAGACCATTAAAGTTCCCAAAGGAAAAAATTTTGTTCCAACACAAAAAAGTAGAATTAATGATCTATAATTTGAGGAGAGAACAAGAACCTGAATATGCTTTTAGTGTTTTATTTCCAAAACATGTTTACTCCTTATTTTCACCTAATTTCCATGATAACAAAATAGCTTTGATGTCACCACAGAATAAAGAGGAAAAAATGTGACTAGAGGAAAAAATAGCTATTAGGCTGGTGCAAAAGAAGTTGTAGTTTTTGCCATTACTTTCTTTTTTATTTTTTTGAGACGGAGTCTTGCTCTGTTGCCCAGGCTGGAGTGCAGTGGTACAATTTTGGCTCACAGCAACCTTCAGCTCACTGCAACCTCCGCCTCCCAGTTTCAAGTGATTCTCCTGCCTCAGCCTCCCTAGTAGCTGTGACTATAGGCGCGTGCCACCACACCTGGCTAATTTTTGTATTTTTAGTAGAGATGGGGTTTCACCATATTGACCAGGTTGGTCTTATCCACCTGCCTCAGCCTCCCAAAGTGCTGGGATTACAGGCGTGACGCACGGCACCTGGCCAATGGCATTACTTTCAATGGCAATCCCAATTACACCACCAGTAGCACATACACAGCCCCTGTGTGAGAACAGAACCTAAGCAAGAACCATCATTTGCAATGTGAGCACATCAGAAGAAAATGCAGGCCAGGCACGGTGGCTCATGCCTGCAATCCCAGCACTTTGGGAGGCTGAGGCGGGCGGATTGCTTGAGGTCAGGAGTTTGAGACCAGTCTGGCCAACATGGCAAAATCCCATCTCTACTAAAAATACAAAAATTAGCCAGGTGTGGTGGCACATGCCTGTAATTCCAGCTACTAGGGAGGCTGAGATGGGAGAATCGCTTGAACCCAGGAGGTGGAGTTTGCAGTGAGCTGAGATCACCCCACTGTACTCCAGCCTAGGTGACAGAGGGAGACTCTGTCTCAAAGGAAAGGCAGAGGGAGGTCTGAATTGTTCTTCTTCATGCTGAAAAGAAGAGATATTGGTGGGGGCAGGGGAGGGAGAGACCATAGTTAGATATTAGAAGCCAGGAGAGCTGGGTTGAGAACCCTGCATGGAGGACAGAAAAAAAGGAGACATGATGGCTGATAGCTAGAGAGGAGATTTTAGGGATGACAGAGCTCTTTTGACAGCTGTGTGGTGATCAGCGTAACCTCCAATCTCCTATACTATTTTCAGTAATACCTACATAGCTATACTGCTCTGTTGAGCAGCTTTCTGTTGGAAAACTGAGACAATACCCAGGACTGCTGCAAAGGTGAGAATGAGGACTCCTCCAAGCGGCCAGGTCACACCTGAGTCGCCCTCAGTTGGTTTTTAGAGAGCACCCTGGCAGTAGAACACCAGCTTTTCAAACCCGACCCAGGTTTTTAACACAGTGCCTGTGTACTGAGGTAAGAACAGAAGCAAACAAAAGGGAACACTATCTTGGCTTGTGGAAGGGCTCATTCTTGGTTCTTCTTCCACCTCCGTTGAGGACTGTCCAGGAATAAGAATCCCAAACTCAAATGACCTTAGGACACAAGGCACACCCACAAATGGGAAAAGCTGCTGTGTGTAAGATAATAGGGTATGTCAGGGCCTGTTGGGAACTGGAGGTTACAAATCCCTTCTAAAGGCTTTCAAAATCAATATTTAGGAGAAAAAAGTGGTGACCAAGAAATGTCTGTGTACAAGATTCAAGACCCCTACTGGACTTGTCCAAATGTGACTACAAAGTTAAGTATTCAAGTCAATGGCTGGCCCAAGGCCAGTATCCAGGTATTTTAGACAGAACCTCTTCCGAAAGCCATTTTTGCCTGGAATCACCACGGATAATCTAAAGAAAATTAAAATGTGATAAATGTGCTCCTTTCAAATAATTCTGGTGTATTAAAATATCTTTTGACAGATCATTCAGAAACTACATATACAAAATAATTTTTCATGGGTCCAACAAGTTAATTTTCAGAAGGTTTAACTTAAAATAATTATATTCCATTAAAAGTTGTCAGAGAACTGGGGAAGGGGCAGGGAACGGAGAAAGGAAGGTTATTCCAAAGTCTTGGCAAACATGGTAAGTTTTCTCTGTGGAGTTTATCACTAAACCACTAACCCCAAACACAGCCAAAACTGCAATGGTATAGAGACAGCCATACCAAAGTAGAGCAGGGACCCGTCCTTTTCCCAGGCTCCAGAACTCCTTAAAAATAGGAGGCAATTTACACTATAAGCACTTGATGTCCTGGTGCCATAGCCAGATAACCAGACAGGGGCATTCCATGAGGGCTTCAGCCTGACTTTGGAGCTCTAGAAATGTAATCCTTGATGACTTCAAAGCCCCACATTCTGTGTCCAAGTCAGTCTCCCCTAGTCAGGCCACTCTCTGCCCAGCTCGCTATACTTTATGACACTAAGGAGGAAAGAAGAGAGACTTTAGAAAAATCCTTACCTGTAGCTGCTGGTCTAATTCTGGAAATTCCAAAGGAATGGAGTCTTCAGGGGGTGTATCATCTAAAACAAGAACATGAAATGATTCTTCACTATGGAGCTCTTTCTTGTAGGAGAGGTGCCCTGTTGGGACCGTCCTTGGACTCCCCCATAGTTAGACCATCAGTGTACACTGTTTCAGTCATTTTCATCACTTCAGTTGGGGACAGACAGAGTGTAAAGGACAATTTTGCTCATTTTCTGTACACACAGATGCGTGGAGAGCTTAGTTGGCCCAAACAAAATTTTGCAAGCAAATATCAGAATCCTCAAATGTCCAGGCTGGTAGCTCTCCAATTAAGAAGGACTGCTTGTCTTTCAATACTCTTACGTTGGCCAAAACCAAAAAATATGATATGAAACAAAATGCTTTAATAAGGTGCTAATGAGGTGGCCAGAAGGACTTTAATGGGACAGGAGAACATGTTAGTGAAAAGTAGAAGCGTTCGTTCTGCTCTGAATGACTCCAAGTACCGCCAAGCTGTGACAGTATTGCTGTCTGCTCCTACCACAAACCACACTAACAGGCAGTTAACCAGAAACTCGTTCTGGGTTACAGTGAGAAACAGGCAGCAACCCAAATGGGGCATTTCTTTCCAATACACCAGGCAGCACTCCTACCCTGTGGCAGAATTCACAGCTTTGTTAGAGAGCGCCAGAGCCCAGAGAGTCCCAAAAGACCTCCTAACTCGTGCTTACGTTGACTGGTTGGCAATAAGCAGCTGTTGCTGGATCGGAAGATAAAGTTCTAAGAAGCATTTGAGGAAATCTGAACAAAATATAGGTCAGAATATCCAAGTCACCCCCAAATCTCTTCAAGAACATAGTGCTGACCCAGCCTTGGTGCTAGAAAGCAGAACCTCTGGTATCTCCAGGTACTCTCCGGCTCTAAGGGTTCA